ACCTGGGAGCTTGTTAGAACTGCAAGTCGGAGGGCTCACCCCTGACCCGCTGCCGCAGCAACTCCACAGGTGGTAATGGGGCCCAGCAACTAGCCTTGTGACAAGCCCTTCAGGTGATTCTGATACACCCTCAAGTTTGGCAGCCGCACTCCAGGAAGCAAAGAAGAGGGGGTAAGGTAGAAAGATGCCTGCCCATCAGCTGACCCAGGTCCTGATGAGGAGGTTTCCCCGAAGCCCCACCAAATGACTTCTGGCTACTTCTCCCTTCATGCCTAACCTCCCCAACAGCCCCTTCCTCCCACCTCCAAACAGCAAGGGAGCCTGGGAAATGTAGGTTTCAACTGGCTACATCGCCACTCCCAACGACATGGAGATTCTGTTGGAAAGAGAAGGGGCAATAAATACCAGGGGGGTAACTAGCAGGAGAAAAACATCACTTAAGCTTCAGGGCTGGACACATTTGGATGACTGTTTTGAGCCCAGCATGATGGGCTCCAACAAATTGTTTCAGCGGGTAAATGATTATCTACAAATTGCAATTTTGTACTGAGCAGCAGTCATGTCACACACCTGTAGGGACCATACCTCTGTACAACATTCAGTCCAGCTGAGTGCAGACATTTACGAGATTATCAGGAACAGGAAATTTTAAAGATAAGCAGCATTACTTCTACTTTAAAGCCTTTAGATTTTTCAAAAGTTAGAAAAGTGGGTAGCCAAAGTGACAGAAACTTTTATGAGTTACTTTTGGACAACTTTTCACACTTAATTAAATATTGTTAATATGCTTTCCATATCCCTGAATGAACTGATTGGCTCACGATAATGAAATAAATGAAAACCAGATTCCAACTCGTCAAAATACTCTCCACTTCTCCCCCACCCCACCCCCGCTTTCTTAACAGTATTCCACTTTTAGGGGAAAGGGACAAATGACAAAAATTGGCCACCCAAATCAGAAGTTTAATTTAAAAAATTAGCTCACCGGCTCTGGCATTGAGTCGGAATACATCTGTCGTCATCCCTCACTTCTCCGGCTAGGGACAGCGACCTGTATACTGCAGTTCGTGGTTCAGAACTGTCCTTATCTCAGAATCTCCAGATTTTGCGATGTGTGTGCTGCAGATTTGCTGGGTAGGCTCAGCACCTGTGCGGCGCGAGGCAGGCAGGCTTGGACAGAGGGGGATGCTGGACCGCCGTGCAGGCCCCGCACAGGCCGGAGCGGATCCTACGGAAGCGTCCGGAGCTAGGCCCACCCTTAGCGTCATTCCCGTGGACGTCAGGGGGCGGAGCCACCGCGCGCCCACGCTGACCAGCCATTGGCTGCCACTGGGGGGGGGGGCGTAAGCTTAGGGGCGGCAGCTCCCTTAAACCCGCAGCTCCTGGAGAGGGATTTGGGCTGAGCCTTCTGCGGTCTACGCTCCGTGTAGCTGAGGGGCGTGGGTATGTAGGTACTGAAGAGAGATGGGGGTGTCTGGGTGGTTCAGCAAAGCCCCCACTCAATAAGATTCTGTCAGAAGTGATCAGCAATGATCAAAGGCACTGAGGAAAACCCAAGCCCCTCCCCATGACCTACCTCCTGTGCACACCTGGCACCACTTTTTGGCATCATCTCCCAAGCTCTCACTCCTCTTCCCGCTAATTTCTGCACTTCAAATGTGTTGAGCACATCAGGGCTTTTGCACTTGCGGTTTCCCCTACTGGACATGCTTGGCTGCAGATACCCCTGTGGGTTGCTGCCCCACTTCAGTCCTATAGCTGCTCAGATGTCACCTCTGTCGAGAGATTGCCTGCATCCAGTCTAAAATGTCCCTATTACCTAGGGTTCCTCTGCTGATCTTCACAACATGTCACTCCCTGACTTTATGTTAAGTATTTCTTTTTTGTTTGTTTGTTGTTTGTCTCTTTATTACAAAAGGAGTTGGGGGGAGGGTATAGCTCAAGTGGTAGAGTGCATGCTCAGCATCCCCTGTACCTCCTCTAACAAATAGACCTAATTACCTTCCCCCGCCAAAAAGACCCTCCCAAAAAAAACCCCACAAAACCCCCAAAACTTCAATTATAAAAAGAAAACCCATGAAGTCAGGGCCTGGTCTACTTGGTCAATTACGTGTCCTCCCCGCCAAACAGTGCCTGGTACGAGGTAGAAATACAGTATTATGCAGTGAAGGAATAAATGAATTCATTCTAATAAGTTCTCTCTGATGAATTTACCGAAGTGGAAGAAGTTAATTTGGGGCAGAAATGAAGAAGGTTAATAATGTCCTTAGGTAACCGAGAAATACACAACCAATGTATCACAGCCCTCACCAACCAGTCCTTTGAAGGAATTGTTACTCTGATAGCATGCTATTTTGCATCAGCTTATAATGGATGTTTATATTAATTTACCTGTAGTAAACCATCTCCTGCACTTCCCATTTGGTGTATTTATGTTTTTCATCGCCTTTACATCATTCATCGTTTTTAGGCCTCAGTCCTCTTAACCAGGTCCTATAGGGAGGGACAACTATGATGCAAACGTGGAATAAAATCAGGGTGCTATTTGAGTTTTTTTTTGTCACAGATTAATTAAAACCTTATTTTGTAAGGTTCATAAGTTTTATAGACCACTCACACCAAGCAAGTGACTCCCGATGCTCCAGCAGCAGCATCACAGGTCTTCGGCTGATGAAGCTGATGTCTGTTCCCGGCTGGCCAGGCAGCTTTCCTCCACCTTGGATCTGTCTGAAGATGTGCTCGAGGCTCTTTTCAGAACCTGGGGAGTAGGGAGCAGTGTCTGGAGCTGGGGCAGCGGAGAAGGGAGATGAGCACCTTGCAGGGGACGGCCAGGTCTCTGCTCTGCCAGTTCAGCTACGTGCCTCAGCAGTGTTGCTAGCCAAAGCCAGGTGACCAAAGTGATTTCACGAGAGACTCTGTGGGACTCTGACCCCACAGAGTGGCTGCTGGGACCAGACCACAATGCATGGTTCCAGGGTTGGGGGACACACTCATCCCACCATAGCTACTTTGGCTCCCCGAGAGCTGACAGCTTAGGGGTCATGGGAGACAGCACCCTTGGGCACAGACACTGGCATCCCGTGATGGGTGGTAGCAACTGCAGGGCACCTGTGAGTTTCCTTTACAGGCAAACAACCAGGGCAGGTGGGGTGGGGCGGGAAAGACAAACAGGCGGGGGGGGTGCAATCCTTGTGTCCAGTCTGCACGAACACATGGAGACACCCCTCAGAGCCCGCCAGCAATAACCAGGGCAAGGGGCACTGAAGATTTGCTTCAGCATCTGTTAGATTGAGAGCCGTTGTAATTATGGCATCGATTTGGATTTGACCCCTTTGTATCCACAGTTAGGTGACCCTGGGGCTAAAGAGTGATTGGCCTAGAGTCCTCACAATGCAATTATTCTGGAAAAGCTACCTCCTAAAGCCTCTTAAAAGGTTTCATTTACATCCCAAATAGAATGCATCTGTTTTTCAGACTGATTTTTTTTTTTTACTTTGTTTCCACAAAGGGTGATTTCCATAACTTAAAAGCTTGAAAAATCCAAGTTCTAATCCAGTATAATTGAGCAATATAGAAACAAAGGAACCCCAAATTCATGTGCATATGAGGTATTGTCCTCCGGAGGTCTACGTAACTAGAATTTTCACAGCCCTCATTTTACAAATGCCTGTTTCCCCAGGTTGCACTTATAAGATACACAGTGGTCTACCTCTTTGCCCTGGTAATGATGTTGCTGAAAGATCGGCCTCCGTCCCTGACAAGCCAAATAACTCACAGACAGGGTCTTGGAGCTTAGAAGTAAAGAGGCAGGTTTATTGCTTTCCCAGGCAAAGGGGCCTCACAGCAGGCTGGTGCCTTCAAAACTGTGAGCCCACCTTGGGGATGGGGCGGGGTGGTTATATAGCCAGAGCTTAAAAAGAAACAACAATCAACAGAATCATTTATCTGGTCACAAGATGTTGTGGTGACAGGACGTCCCCAGGCAACAGTTCCATGGAAACTGGCAGTTGCAACTTTTCCAGTCTTTTCATCTTGTAAACACCTGCGGCATGTTTCTTCTTTTGACAAATTAGGCTATTTTGGAGGACTACAGTTCCATGACCTTCTTCCTGGAGAAGGACTCAGAAGCCAAACATGATTATAAATTTTAATTGCTACAATAAAGTGAAAGGCAACAAGATCAATGACTTCAGCTTTAACGATGGGCCTGGGGCTGGGGGCGGTGACCGGTCGGTCAGGTTTGCTGACTGTTCGAAGGGCAAGCAGCAAGCAGCAAGCAGCAAGCAGCAGGCCAAGAGCCAGTTAGCCCAAGTGCGGCCATTTTACCACCCTCCTTCAAATTCCCCACTGTCAGTTTTACTCATTCCATTTCTATAGAAATAGGGAGATGGCCGTCCTGTTCGTCTGGCTGCTCCCTGCTGAAAGGGGGCATCGAATGGGGGTTTCTGAGATGGAATGAGCGAACCTGATCTTGCCATATGGCAGGAGGTCTCAGAAGAGTCTTAACAGTACGCTTTTCACACATTAGGCAATAGAAGACTGTCAGTCTAATGATCATATATATACCTATTCCAGTGATAATAAAACTGCAGGATCCCTGTAAGGATAGATCTGAGACCTTGGGGTATCCATGAAAAGAGACAGAGAACCAAGTATTGATGTTACGGAAACGACAGTCCAGCCAAGAAACAAGCACCACTCGGAGGGTTGGAGTACTCAGATTTATTACGCTGGCGGGCTCAGAGGCGCTTCTGCTCTAAAGCTCTGAGCACCTCCGAGATGTGTGCATGGGATTTTATAGGGTTAATTACAAGCTCGGGACTATTAGCCAATAAGGCTCGAACAGCAGAGCCGAGGAATCAGTACACTGGAACTTATCTATTAGGAACAGATCACGGTACTGACACTTGTTGAGCTTGGATTTATGAGTTAGCTTGTTAGCCCAGTAGACTGACACTAAACTTCAGATTTACAAGTTAGCCCAGCAGAACTTAGATCAGTAAACGGTCACTTATTACACTTAGATTTAGGAGTTATCTTGTTAGTCCAGCCCGGCTTTTCCTTCACATTGAGATGTAATTTTTTTACGCATAAGCATTTGAATCCCCTATATTATGTATTTGCTGTTTCATGTCCTCCAGGGCAGTTGTGATGTTCCTGGATTCATCTGGTTTGAAAATATAGCAGGCAGTATGGATCTAGAAACTTAATAATTACAAGAGGAGAACTTCAACTCATAAAGTTGCAGCTACAAGTTGCCAGCAGACATTGCTGGGAGAATGGCTGGTGGCGTCCCAATTTGACACAGCTCAGAAAACTCAAGTCCTCAGCAAGACAGAAACTTGTCTGAAATCACATCTACACTGGTTACCTTGGATGTCTGAACTATAGTCATTCCATTTTGACTTTCAAATACATTTCTCTCCTTAGTGGCCAAAGCAGATGTCACCATTAATGATTTCAGTGCTTTTCTAGATATGAGGAGATGCAAGAATTTGGGCTCATAAATCTTCTCCTGAAAAAATCTAGCTATCTGAAGGCCTGTTCAGCCAGTTTTCCCAGAGCACAGAGTGCCTCATTCATGGATCTCCACCCTGAACTCTTTTCAGGGTGTGCTGGAGGTCAGTGGCTGCAGTCGCTTGTGATTTAATCCAAGCAGAGATAGGTGGCAAGTACCAACGTGATCCAGTCCTTATAAAGGCAGATGGTGAGTGCCCTCATGACCATAAATTTGACCATGGCTTGGCATGACCACTTCGTCCCACGGTGCTAGGAATGCTTATTTCTAGGCCAGGCAAGTATTTCATTGATAGGCCGCTCAATGTGCTATTACAGGGCTAGGCCTTATTAACAGTAGCAAAAAGTCTCTGGACCACCTGTTTTACTAGTCTGTTGTGGTTCAGGAAAATATCCCCTCTTGTTGCTGCTTCCCATACCCAGAGTTGCACTAGTACAATCATTGGACTCATACACAAGTATATATATCTAGTCGACTGTTTCAAGTTGCCTAGTCATTATTTTATCAGAGGCTCAGTCACACATTTGGTAATGCAAGAAACAACAATTTTGTAAAACAGGCAAAATACAAATAATATAGTTAGCAGTATTAGTAAGGTCATAAGAAAGAATTTAAGCCAAGAACTTGCCATTAGGTGTAGCTCAGTGTATCCTCGGGTCGTCTGACTCAGTCTGTTCTGTACCGATCCTTGGCTTTAAGGAAAATGTTACACAGGCACTGTTCACAAGACATCCAGCCAGATTTCATAGTGTTATTAGGTTAATTATCCTTAGCATAGTTTAATTTTTTTTTTAACTTAAGAGAGCCTTTAACCTTAAATGTCCATACCCTGGTGTTAACCATGTAAGTCCTTTCCATAATTGAGGGAGGTTATATTTATTTGGCTGAAATTTTGCTTGTTGCATTGATTGAGCTTGAGTGATCTTATAAGAAAGCTCATATTTATGCTCAGGCTCAGAGCAGGTATTATTAATTGGCCAGGTGAGGGCTCCCACTTTGTAATGTCAATAGCAGCCTAAATAGAACTATAATTTTATTTTTCTTTGGAGTAAATTTTCTAAGGGCTATCTAGTCAGAGCCTTGGAGTAGGGAAACCCACCAACATAACACAGAAGTGCTAGATATAGGTAATTGACCATAAACCTAACAGTTGGATTAGTTCATAGCAATTATCAAAGTAATTGGTGTACAGGCCTGGTCCGGCGTCTTGGGTCAGCTGTCTGCCTCAGATGTCGTCTTCTTCCCATCCTGGGCTGGTAGCTTCTTCTCCACTTGAGCATTGTTTTTAAGGTGAGCAGCCCTCTATAGGCCAGTCCAGTGCAGGAGCTCTTTCTGACTGGAAATTAATCCAAAAGTCAGCTTCCTTCAGCTTTTGCTGTGCATGGTCTGGTTACGAGTACCTGATAAAGGGTCCTTCCATCCAGGCTGAAGACAGTTCTTTAAATCATGCCTGTTCCAGTACATATAATCCCCTGGTTGCAGGTCATGGGCCATCGGCTCTTCATCCGAGGATAGATTACTGAGCTTCAGAAACAAACCTAGAGTGTCCTTTTAATAATGCAATTAAACTTTGCAGCAATGTAATATAACAGCAAGGAACGATCTGGGAAATGAGTCTTGGTAAACACAGACCTAAATTAACAAAACTTGAATTTAATATTCACTGAAATATGATTCTTTTCTCTAAGTTTACCCTCACTTTTCTCAAATACAGGCAAATCAAGAGTAATTTGTCTGCAAGTTAAGTCTGATTATTTGATCACACAGGCTCTTTTACATTAGCTGCGCTGGAACTTTTTACAAGGAGTCTCAAGCTGAAATTTTCATAAGGTCTCCTAAGGCCAGGAAAGCCATGTTAAAGGTTTGTCACAGATTTTGCCTTACAGATTTAGGTGCATTCTTTTCTTTTCAAGGTCCTCAAAATGCCTTAAGATTCCTACACCTGTTAGGAGGTGATCTTCCTAATTTATCTGATAGAGCCACTGGGGACCTAAGAGTTTCCAGTCTCTGGAGGTATCAGATAGAGAGAAAAGATAACTGTTCCGAGTCTGCTTACATAGGTATAAGTTATCAAACTGCTGTGAGTCATAATTAGCGTAAGGAGAAGGGTTTCTTTATATCTGGGAAACACAGAATAAAAGCCAGTAATATTTCAGACAAAACCAAAAATTATAACCATATTCATCAGTTTACTCAGTCTCATGTAACTAATCCTTTTTTTGTTGTTGTTACAGTTTTATGAAATCAGAGTTTCCATCAGACTTTTAAAATATCTTACCCAGTTCAGTTCAGTGCTATAATCTGAAACTTATCAGAAACCAGTAAATCTCCTTGAAGAGAAAGCATTTTGCAAAGGCATCAAAATAAAACAGTAACTGTCTATAAATGACAAAAGTCTTAAAAGCATGGTTAAACACCTAGTTACATTGTAATCGATAAAGAAACCTGGTTACAATAACCAGAATTATGACTGGTAACATTTCAGACATACCAGATTTTTAGGAATTCCATTTAATTTTTATATATATATATATATATATATTAATATTATTTTCTCATACAATGTAACCTAAGAAGATTTATTATTCATTTGACAATATTTCCCATTTACTTTAACATACCAAATGAAACTTACTAATTTAAAATCTCTCTTTGGGATGTTTCAGGAGCCCTCTGAAGCATCCCAAGTTTAGCTGGAGGTCAAAAGAATTCTGATTAAAATTTGATATTTGGGAAGCTTGCTAAAAAGTTTTAAAACACTTGGTCAGATAAAAGCATAGGTCACTGTGAAACAATACTTATTCATTAATAATAAATTATTTCAAGGTAAATACAGAACAGATCACTTAAGGGGTAAAAGAAACTTTACAATTAGTAAAACAAAAAGACAACCTATGGAATGGGAGAAAATTTTTGCAAATGAAACCGACAAAGGCTTGATCTCCAGAATATATAAGCAGCTCATATGACTTAATAAGAAACAACCAAACAACCCAGTCCAAAAATGGGCAAAAGACCTAAACAAGCAATTTTCCAAGGAAGACATACAAATGATCAACGGGCACATGAAAAAATACTCAGTATCACTAATTATCAGAGAAATACAAATCAAAACTACAATGAGGTATCACCTCACGCCAGTCAGAATGGCCATCATTCAAAAATTCACAAATAACAAATGCTGGAGAGGCTGTGGAGAAAGGGGAACCCTCCTACACTGCTGGTGGGAATGCAGTTTGGTGCAGCCACTGTGGAAAACAGTATGGAGATTCCTCAAAAGACTAGGAATAGACTTCCCGTACGACCCAGGAATTCCGCTCCTGGGCATATATCCAGAAGGAACCCTACTTCAGGATGATACCTGCACCCCAATGTTCATAGCAGCACTAGTTACCATAGCCAAGACATGGAGACAGCCTAAGTGTCCATCAACAGATGACTGGATAAAGAGGAAGTGGTATATTTATACAGTGGAATACTATTCAGCCATAAAAACCGACAACATAATGCCATTTGCAGCAACATGGATGCTCCTGGAGAATGTCATTCTAAGTGAAGTAAGCCAGAAAGAGAAAGAAAAATACCATATGAGATCACTCATATGTGGAATCTAAAAAAACAAACAAAACACAAACAAAGCATAAATACAAAACAGAAATGGACTCATAGACGTAGAATACAAACTTGTGGTTGCCAAGGGGGCGGAGGGTGGAAAGGGATAGACTGGGATTTCAAAAAATAAAAAATGTTAAAATAAAATTAAAAAAAAGAAACTTTACAATCTGTTGCTAAAGGCAGATTAACATTTTAAGGAAACTTTGTCCTCTTAACATACAGAAAACCAAATCTACCAGCTTACTTCTAAGATTCATTTACTCTGACTAAATTTATTCTAAACTTAGTCAATCCCAATCATATACAAAACTCTTTTCTCAGGGTTCCTCTTTCACAAACCTTCCACAACTTTCTGTATCCATATTATTTTGTCCCTTATTTTCTTTTCCATTCAGAAGTAATCAGCTTCAGGATAAAGTCACTCTCTTTTCATTAACAAAATATAATTCCCTTTCTCATACCTTCTTTCATGCACTCATTTTACTTTCCTAGCATACTGAGATGTTCCCCTTAATAGGAGAGAATGTTTCAGGGTGGCACCAAACATTTATTAATATTTCTAAACACCTTTAGTTTCTCTGTAAGAGGAAGTCAATATTCAGCAATTAATGTTTCGATACCTTATTTTATTTGAAAATGACCTAGCTATTTAATAAACTTCCATCATTTAACTTAATTTAGCACAACTCTAAAATTTCAAGTTACCAAGTATCTGGGGAGCTCATTTGAGTGAGTAGGCATTCCTGAAATAATCATTCCTAAAAAGTTTACCCAAAAGCTCTTTCTCATTTGCATTTAAGTTACTTGCAAGACTATTATACCAAGTTATTTTTCTTGCTGACAAATTTGTAACAGACATGACAAGGTCTTATTGGACTTCTATTAAGCCTAAGTACAATAAAATTTTTATGCTTAACATGAGTGAATCTTGAGACTTGTCTATATTAATTAAATCAATAAGCTTAAGCTAGCTTCAAATACCAGGTATTGATTCATAACTGAATACTTCTTAGATCACATGAACCCGATTTTCATTCTGGCCAGTTTCTTTTATATTTCTGAGTATTTATATAAGCATTTAATTTTCTTTAAGCCAATTAAATAGAGCTCTTTTACAAATTAATTTTGGCAATGCCACACATCTACAACACACATACAGGTACGTACAAACACACAAACACAGACTCATCAGTTATAAGAGGTTGGATTCAAGTTGGGTTTCCAGCAGATGGAACAAATCGAAGTCGTCTGTCTAGATTCTATAGAAGACATTAAAGATTTCTATTTGTTTCCAAATTATTTACTTCCTTTCTCAAAATTTGCATTGCAGAGGTGGCAAGAGCAGTTGAGTCATTGGTACTGGGACAGAAGTGTAGAAGTTAGCTAGAAAGTCCACTAGTTGAGACCCCGCTGTCAGCTGTGCCTGAGGCTCTTGGGTGACCTTGACATTGGAAAGTGTTTGCTTTCCTTTTTCACCCTGGTTTTAGTTTTGAGCAGCCGTTTCTCCAGTGTCCCTCCGCATTGATTAACAGTCATTAATAGCTGGCTTTCTCTTATCACCCTTTTGGCCCCTGGGCTTTTGTTTACTAAAGGCCCCCAGGCGAGTTACTATCATACTGTTAACACTGGCTTTCTGTTTCTGTCTTCTCTAGCATTATAAAACGGAAAGACAATTTCCAATAATTTCCCGGGGTTTCTGGCTACTTTTAATCTGGTTTTAGGGCTTGCACCTTGTCGGAGCGAGTGCGTTTTGGCAAGCCCTTTCCGAGCCCAGCTAGGGCACCCCGTCCACAGCGAGCACCTGCGGGGTCCCTTGTATTAGGTGCTGGGCTTCCTCCCGCGTGGCCTCTAAAGCCATTCTCTTTCTTAGTTAACTATAATTGGACCAGTCATTTGAGATCTTACCCACTGGGCTATTGGATGGAATAGACGGCGTGCCTCCCATAACTTATTTCAAATACAAAGTACAAAATACAAATACAGAGTTCAAATTGCAATACCAGGCCTTTGTGGGTAAGTGGAGACACAACCTTACAAACGACAGGCTAAAACAAATTCAAATTCCAAACTTACACATATTTTCACTTCCAAGTCCTCTCAGCCCGAGACCTCTGTTACAAATGGGTACCCATTTCAAATACAAACGAGAGATCTCCGTCTGTCTAATGAGAGAACTCTCAAGGCGAGATCAAGGGGCCTCGGTCGTCCCCGGGAACTTACCCTCGGCCTGCCGGTCGGATGCGACACTTCAGAAGAAACAGAGCCATCTTTTCTTCCTCCAAGAAATCGGTTTAGGCTACTGTGGTCCGCTGATGGGTGGAAGGGCAAGGGATGTAAGGATCCCCAGAGCAAAGAGGCCCTGGCAGCCACTGGGCCCCATTCTCCACCGTCCCTCCCATCGGCCTGGAGTGGCAGTTGTTCAAGCCTTGCTGGCCTGGCAGCGAGGTGGAACCTGAAGCCCCTCTTAGAAAAGAGGGTGGTTCATGCCTCCTGTGGGCGCCATGAATTTGTTGCCAAAAGATCGGCCCCCGTCCCTGACGTGACAAATAACCCAGAGACAGGGTCTTGGAGCTTAGAAGTAAAGAGGCAGGTTTATTGCTTTCCCAGGCAAAGGGGCCTCACAGCAGGCTGGTACCTTCAAAACTGTGAGCCCACCTTGGGGATGGGGCGGGGTGGTTATATAGCCAGAGCTTAAAAAGAAACAACAATCAACAGAATCATTTATCTGGTCACAAGATGTTGTGGTGACAGGACGTCCCCAGGCAACAGTTCCATGGAAACTGGCAGTTGCAACTTTTCCAGTCTTTTCATCTTGTAAACACCTGCAGCATGTTTCTTCTTTTGACAAATTAGGCTATTTTGGAGGACTACAGTTCCATGACCTTCTTCCTGGAGAAGGACTCAGAAGCCAAACATGATTATAAATTTTAATTGCTACAATAAAGTGAAAGGCAACAAGATCAATGACTTCAGCTTTAACGATGGGCCTGGGGCTGGGGGCGGTGACCGGTCGGTCAGGTTTGCTGACCATTCGAAGGGCAAGCAGCAAGCTGCAGGCAGCAGGCCAAGAGCCAGTTAGCCCAAGTGCTGTCATTTTACCATCCCTCCTTCAATGATAGGCAACTTTCTCTGAGCTAAGCGCTTCATCCTTATCTCTTTTAATCCTTTCTCATTTAATCTTAACCACTCGATGAATAAGAGAGAGTATTTATCCCATTTTACAGAACTGGAAACTGAGGTACAGGGACCAAAGCCTTCCAGCTTGGGTGTAATAAGGTGGATTCAAACCAGCCTTTATGCCTCCAGGGCCTTACCCTAACCACCTTGTCACATTGCCTCCCATCAAGAGGTTGTCTGTCTACAATTCTACATTCCAGCTCCTGGTTGTCCCTCTCCCCCCATTCCACCCTTGGGTTCTTACCCTAAAGACACACAGGAGCGGCTCAATGAGCTGCTGTTGGGTGGTTGGTTAATAGTTTAAATGACTGCTCAGCCCCGGTTCTGAGCACCATCTGCAAATGTTTTAAGAACAAACCACTTGAAAACACAACCCTAAACCAGGACAGGACTCAGCCTAAAGGGTGGTAGACTGCCTGCTGGGCTACCTGCAGAGGCCACGTCTGGGCTCTCCAGGAATCATTCCACATGCTCTTCCCAGCCCTAGAGCCTTCGAAGTCTGCCGCGGGCTCGTTTCCACCACTGGGTCCCAGTCTACCTGATATTCTAACAGGCAATGCAATTTACCTCTGCATTTTCATGTTGGCCCTGACTGGAGTAGGAGTAGCAAGGCATTTGAAAGTCGTTAGAGTCTGTGGTTGCTTTTCTTGAGCATGGGAGTGTTGACTGGGCAGAGAAAAAGCGTACCCTAAAAGTCGACAGTGATGTTTTATTCAGCGGACATTTCCGAGGACTTCAAGCCCAGGATAATGGCCTCTCAGATTGCTCTGAATAAGCAGGGGAGGAGCCAAGATATACAGGATTTTTTTTCTTTTCTTTCTTTTTTTTTGGCAACAAAGACCAGGTAGTCTGAACATCAAAATATCACTGTTAATAAAGGAAACCAGATATCCCAGGATGAGGGATTTAGTGCTTTTCTATATGTGGGAAGGCGCAAAAGTCTGGGCTCACTGAAGTCATTCCTCTGATGTACATCTTAGCCAAGTAGGGCCAGTATCCTGTGCTCCCCATCCTGAGTCACCCTTGAGGGTTGCTGCAGAGGCTGAGGACTTGTCAGTGGGCAGCCTGCTTCATTCCACCCAGAGCTCCCTCCGGCTTACCATCAGAGGTGACAGTGGTGGCAGGAGATGGCCGCAGCATCCTTTGTTTACTGATATGGCAGGCAGTTTTTTTCATTCACAAGAGAGTCATTGGAATTGATTTTTTAATTAAAGTTGCCAAGGCTGGCCACCAAGGTAGAGGGTTCAAACAGCCTGGTTTGGGGAAACCTGGTACCTGACTTTCAGCACCATTGAGTCTTCCCTGAGCACATCAGACTCTGTCCAGTTGCCCAAGGTTTGGAAGTGAGAAACACCAGCACCCTGTTAATTAAGTTTCCCTTTGCCAGAAATTGTTTCCAGCCCCAAATCACTTGACTGTGTTTCTGCCCCCGTAGCCTTTACTGGTATTTCACTAGTAAGCATGAAAACCCTCAGAATGATGCTCTTGTGCTTTGCACAGTTTCACCCAGCGTCCTACAGGAACTCAAGTTCACTCATTGATCACTATGTTTAGAGTGGCTTCCTATACTTTCTTTTCCCCTCTCTGACTACAGGGGAGTTTGAGTTGCTAAGACACATGGCAGACCGCTGTAGGACACCACTCGCGTGACAGGCCAGTGACTGGGGTTGGTAAAAGAATTTACCAGAGGCCAAGAAGAGTTCAGGAAAGGAGCTATTAGGTTACGCTGCCACAGACAACGACACACACAGGCGGGCCACACGGGCAGGAGGTGCCTGTGTGCGGGAGCCCCAAGGGTGGGTGTGCAAGGTCTTTTACTGGGGGCAGGGGGCTGTGCGCACAAGGCAGGGGCTGCATGATCAGCTCGTGCACAGGCACCTGACTGCTTGTGAGATCTACTGGACTCCTCTGAACAATAGGTTTTATGACTTTGATAAGAGGCCACCTAGGGTATTGTGAGACAGGCTGTCTCCTGGGGTAAACACACATCAAGAGATGATGTTTTTTATCTTGCAGAAATGCAGGTATGCGAAGGGTCCTGCAGGGGGAGTGTGTCAGTGGCTCCAGGCACACAGAGAGCCCAGGTTTTGCGACTCCAGAGTGCCAGCCAGCTCCACACAGCCCAGGTTTTTTCCTTCAGTCTGGAGTGTGCTTTTTCTGGTCCCCCCATCAAGCTACTCCCACCCGTCATCACTCGTACCTCCAAATATTTGCCTGACATCTATATATAACATTTATATGACATGTTTCATATCATCAATTCTCTTTAATTGTGCCAATCTGCTCTTACAGCTGGCCACTGTGTTTAATTTTACTCATAACTTTGTTTTGAATTGCCCTATTGGGTTGTTTTTCATATCTGCCTGTTATTTTTTAGTGCCCTGGTTTTTGACAAGGATTTTTATTTCTCCCTTTCTCTCTTTAATGATTATACACAAGCTTAATGTATAGATAGCTGTGGATCCTTTTATCGGAGGTTCTTGTGCTACCTCCCACGCGTGTCTGCTGACTCTCCCGTGCTGTGGACCACATCCTTGTTTATTTTGTACTTTTTAATTGTGAGCATACTTTCAGCTAGGATATATTTCTCTGTGGGATTCCTGTGTACTCTAAGATTTGCTAGCAACCATCCAGAGAAGTCTTACATTTGATTCTTCTGGGAATTTCAGGAGATTCACTAGCCTGAAATATTTACCGTAACTACATAAATACCTCTTTTTGGTGTTCCTGTGTCTAAAATTTGGATTCTACACCTATGCATAACTTATATTTTTAAAATTTTCATTTACTGTGGGGAAATTTTTCTCACGCAGGTATCTAATCCGTGACCATTTTGTCAGTTGTGTCTGTGGTAAATGAACGATGCTTCACAGTCCCCTTATATGGTGGAAGCAGCTCTTCCTTGGTCCTAAGCTTTATGTGTGAATTTCAGTTCTAACTCCTCAACTGTCAGGCCCAAGGGCAAGTCTTTTATTATAGACACGTGTTAAAAACCACGACCCCTGGCTGTTAGGTCCTATAGCAATGTCTGATGCCCTCTGTTCTGTTCTGGCATCAGCTGATGCATTTACCATATTGGCCATGAATTTCTTCTTTATTTTTGGCATTTAAAAATTTCCTTTCTTTTTATCTTTTTCTCTCTTCCTCCCTCCCTTCCTTTCATCCTTGGATATGTATGTAAAATAGTTTTGCTAGATTTTATCTAGGATTTCTGTGTGCCTGTAGTACCCAGGAGGACGTCAGTATGCTAAATAGAACTGGAAACCTACATCAAGCAGGTGTGGAGACCACTACCTAGCGCAACAGAGAACACATGACCTTTGAAACTGGGACCAGAGTTTGAACTATTTGACTTCACTACTTTCTATTTTAGCAAGCTAGGCTAAGCCCCTTAACCTCTCCAAGTTTTATTTTTCTTGTCAAGAAAATGGGGATAATGTTATTATTGATTCTCCTTATACGTCCTCCCTTATTGCTCTAAATACATCTCTATTTAAATTCAAGTCTTTTTCTCCATCCTCCATTCCTACAAAGGTTGGAGAAGACTGCAAGTTTCTTGGAGGCAAGAATCATAGATTATTTAGTATTTTCCCTTACAGAACGAATAATGAATGAAATGCTAGTTGACTGAAGGACCTTGTTAATTTTTTCCTTTCATTAATCTACTCTTCAGTACCAGCTGAGAAAAACTGGTTAAAAAAAGAGAGATGTGACGTTGGAAGAAATGATGAATTTCATTTCTTAAGAAATTTTCCGGGGTGAAGTGAGGGGTGGACTCACATCTCTGTGGAGTTTTACTCCTGACAGTTCTCATCTCTCGCTCTCCCTGGAGTGCATGTGAGTGAAAACGTATATTGGTCTAGAGGTTCTGCTTGGATAAATGTTTCAGAGCCAATAAATCTGTCACAGTAGATCTCAGGCTGAGCCAAGGTGAACAGTCGCACAGTAATTTTTCCAGAGCCTCAGGGTACCAGGCGGCACAGGCAGAGAGGTCACGGGATGCATGCTCACCCCCTGCCCGGGAGCAGAGGCGTCACCTTACAGGGATATGAGGAGCTTTCCCACAATGCTGTGCTTACCAGGCGGTAAAATTCCTTGTCAAACAACAGAGCAATCAGATTTAAAACACAATTAGAGGAAACAAACAAACAAACAGAAGCACATTTAAAAACTGGTTCTCACAGTGACTCTGGTGGTTTATAGACTCCAGGTGAAAGTTACTGTTCCTTGTGGAAGGCAGTGTGGTGTTGTCTCTCAAAAAGTTTAGTGTCTATGTCCTTTGTTTCAGCTACTCACTGACAGAAATGTATGCCACAGAGACACACGAACGTTTTAGGTTGTCATGGAAGTTTAATTTTTAATGTTTTGTAGTTTATTCCTAATAATGAAAAATGTAGACAAGAATAAAAACTGTCATCAATTTCAAGCTGATAAATAAGATACATCATACAGTGGAGTGTTCTGTAGGTACTAAAATTATACAGTAGCTCTGTATACTGTTGAACATAAAGGTGTCTAAGATACGTTGTTTCTAGCGACTAAGCGAGTCTGCCTCAGCTAAAATGCCTGTGTGTCACTGGGCAAGTGGCTTCCCAACTCTGTGCCTTACTTTGCTCACATATAAAATGAGGATGGTGTGGCAAGGGCATAGCTCAGTGGTAGAGTGCAGCATGCCCAAGGTCCTGGGTTCAATCCCCAGTACCTCCATTAAAAATAAAATGAGGGTGACAGTAATACTTGAGCTGTAGGGTTACTGAATGAGTTAATCCATAAAGTGCTTCTAACATCAGACTCATAGTCAAGTGCTCAACTACTATGGTAGCTATTATGTTATGTTAACTATTATGAGCAGTAGTAGTAACTAAAAACAGCAAGCTAATGCTAGCTGCTTATGTCTGGGGGTTATACTTATGGGGTTTGAGGTGACTGGGTAAACCTTTCCATTTTCATTTCATACCATTTGGATTAGTTACAGTGAACATAATACTTCTATTGAAAAGAATAATTAAAATCATTATTCAAAAGTACACTGGATAAGAAGACAGCTGTTTTGCAAGTTTGACATATAACAGGGACTTAACAAAAATCACAATTACTGATGGCTGTATTTTTAATATGTGAGAAACTGATGAATGCGAGCAATCCCTTATATCTGTAATGCGTTTCACAGTTACCGAGATGTTTTCACATTCATGAGTTCATTTCATTCAACTAACTGGATTATTAATGAGTTCATTTCATCCCTGTGAAGTGATTTTTTGTATTTTTCCACATAAAGAAGGGAAGAGAGAGATGGAGTCAGAGAGAGAGCAGGTTGTTGGTTTTTGGTTTGGCAGTGGTGGTTTTCCCTGCCCACGGCAACGCTGGGCGGGCTGCAAAATTGAAGCTTAGAGTATTAAGGGCTCGCTTAAGATCAGGCAGCCACTTCTGAGTAAAAGAAATGGATGAAAAGCCAGGTTTCCCAAGGCGAAGCTCCTTCTACAACACCATAATTATCTGGTAAACTGGGCCAGGAACATGGTAACAAAATAGATGAATAATTCTACCCTGTACATGACCATTATCCAGTATCTGGTTTGGTAAAAAGGTGAGTTTGTAGTGGGTCAACAGGGGAGAAGAGCCAAAAAGTCAGTTCTCCCAGTTTACAAACAAAGCGTGTAACTACCCCAGGATAAACACGGCCAGCGTGGGCGGCAGCTGACACAGCAGAACATACAGTTGGCTTCTGTCCATAGCACCCTTGGCTGGGATAATGCTGATCAGACAGGACCCCGGGGTGAGACGATGAACTGATGAAACTGGTGGAGCCAAGCATATAATTAAAGGTAGTTGCTTTGGGATGTAGTTGAAGTCACTGTAATAATGAACAAACTTAAACTAATAGGCCAAATAGCCTGATAACTACACCATCTCGGGCAAGCCGCCTTTCCCTCTGGTTTTCTCACCTCTAAAAATGACTTACTCTGACTACATGGCCTCCCAGGTGCTTTTCTTCCATATATTCATCCCTTCATTCAGTAAATAGGCATTGAGTGCTTTTTTTTTTTTTTTCCAGTGTTGAACATTGATGATTCTAGCTGAATGAGACTGGTCACCTCTCTCAAGGAGAGGCAGAGGTTAGACAGGCAATAAACAAGTAAATAAGAAAAATATGATAGTGATAAGCGTTATCCACAGAATTTAAGTAGGCAGGTGGCAAAGAAAATGACTGAACAGGTCTTCCAGGTGGATACCCAGAGAAGGATCCTCAGAAGAGGCGACTTTTTAGGTAAGTTGAGAACATAGAATGTGCCGTGCATGTGAGAATGAGCAGCTCATTCTAGGCAGAGGAAGAGCTGGCTTCAAAGGCTCTAGGAGAGAAGTGAGCTTGGTGTGGCGGGGAACCCAATGCAGGGCTGACAGGCAAGAGCTAGAACAAGTATGGTTCTGAAAATCATCAAGACTTTTGGAGGACTTTAAGCAGTGGCATGATGTGATTTATGCTCCTGAAAGCTTCCTGTGGTTGCTACGTGCAAGCCTGGAAGCAGGGCTCCCAGGGAGAAGCTCTTGCAGCAGCGGAGAGGAAATATTATGATGTCTTTGTCTAAGGTTAGAATCGTGAAAATGTGGAGAACTGGACAGATTCAAGGAATTTATGGGAGTAGAACCAATTGTGTTGGTAGATAAATACCTTTTGTGGGATAAATGAAAGAGAAGATGCAAGGGTAATTGTCAGATCTGGGGTTTGAGCAAGTGGCTGGACGTTGGCATCATTTTCCAAAATGGGAAGAAAGAGGTATTTGGGGTAGTCAGGATACATACAGATGGCACTGACTCAAGAGTTCTGTATTGGTCATGGGAAGCATTAGGTGTCTACTGAACATCTGTGTGAAGATGTCAAGTAGGCAACTCGAGTCAGAAGTCCTGGGGATACAACATAACTAAAAATAAAGTTCTGGGAGTCGTCAGCATAAAAATATGGAGCAGACGGAATCACTCAAGAGACCTGGTAGACAGCAGAGGTGAGAACCGGACCCTGAAGCACTCTGAGATCAGAGGTCACATTGAGGAGATGGAGCCAACAAGGGAGAACAGAAAAGAGTGCCAACGTGACAGGAGATAAAAATGAGGAGAATGTGGTGTCCAGGGAAGCTTCAAGAAGGAGTATGAAGCTTCAATCCAGTATATTAAATGCTGCTAGGAGGTCTAGCTACGATCATACCAGAAAACCGAGTATTTGACTCCACAGAAGGGAAATCAAGTTAAAGGATCTAGCTTTAACTACCTTGATTCTATAGCACTTTAGGGCTTGGGGAGGAGCTCTTAACAATACGTTTGCCAGGAGGTCTACAGTGTTAAATGGAAAGTCAATAGACAGGACGCTGTAGTGTGACTGTTTCAATGTGTAGAAAAATCTCTAGCACACTCACCAAGGGGATAAATAAACAAGAGGTTCAGCAGAGTCACTGAAACAAGGAGACTGATGTACTTCACGATAGACGTAATTATCTTAGTGAGTAGAATGGATCTGCATGCAGTAATTACACATTATAAGGAAACCAGGGTTATATGTAAGTTGGCACCAGTTCAGAAGTCAAGTTTATCAATAGCTGTCATATAACTAGCAGAGTTTTTAACTCAACAATGGATGTTTGGGTATGTGGCACAAACGGGATAATGGTTCTTCTTTTGGCTAGAACTGTCTTCATTTAGGAAAATAATTTGTAAAGCTGATTAGGGGCAGAGACCTCTGAGGATGTACATCAGCATGAACCAAACAGCTCTGCATAAAATGAATAAGAGTTTGGTAGTGGAGAGAGAAGACCAGGCTAAGCAATATGTGGGGAGACAAGGTCCAAGTTGAAGAAATAGCAGAGAGAGTTTTAGGAACTTGCACGTCTCACACTAAATTGTTAAGATGTTTGTGCTGCTGTAACAAATGGTCTCAGTCGTCTCAAAATTTCAGTAAGTTTTTGCACAAATAACTACCTCATGTGCCTAGACAAAACCCTGGAGGTCCTCACACTGAGGAATCTCCCAGTTAAAAAGCCAGTGTCTCAGCCAATTATTCTACAGTGCACTTTACAGCTGACGGGCCAAGTCCAAGCACACAGAGCTTCCAATCAGCCTTTGTTTTAACCTAACTTTTAAAATATGAAAAGAAAGCCAATGACTGCTTGACAGTTGAAGAAAGCCTCTAAGATAAAAGCTAAAGACACCAAAACAGAGGCAAGGAAGGAAGAAAACTCATTAAAAAAAGAAAAGAAAGAAAGGAAGGAAGGAAGGAAGGAAGGAAGGAAGGAAGGAAGGAAGGAAGGAAGGAAACAAAGAACAACATTAAAAGTAAAGAAAATTAAAAAGTAATTAATTAGGTAGTGACCTGAGAGGATATACGCTATTGTTAA